AGTAGGAAGGCTTATGATCCTTCTTTGAGATTGGAGGAAATGAACAGTAAAAATGTTGATAGAGGTAGCCATTTGATACTGGGAGGAATTACAAGGTTCACAAGTAGTTTTCATGCAGCGATCTCAATTTGCTTGTTAAAATAGCAGGTGCACTAAGAGTGAAGAGGGGATTGTGTGGCTGGAGTGGAGCGATAAACTTTTGAAATAGTGACTGATCACAGTCTGAGTGGAAGGATTAGTGCATGCTACTGAGGACTAATGCACATTAAAAAACTGTAAGTCCTCAGAGTAGCAAGTTCTTTTTGCACTCATAAGCCCAGATAGACAGGAAAGAGAAAATTCATTATAGCTTGAATTCGAAGTCGGAAGTTCTGTATAAGAAAGGAATGATCCACAGAAGAGTAGAAAGTAGGCAGCTGCATTGTGTGTAAAATCACAAGCAAGACCTAGAAAGAATATGGAAGATCAAAAGTGCTAGAAGTTTCATTGAAGCCTAAGAAAAAGAAGTGAAGAAAAGGGTTTATTATATTCATAATCTAACTTTACTCCTAATCTTAAAATTTTACTGTTTGTTGATTTCTAATTTTACCACCTAGCTTATATTCAGCCTTCATATTTTGTAAGATGAGTTTTAGATACAAAGCCAGGTATAAGCAAGTAAAGAAAAATTTAAAATATGCAGATATTCAAACAGATACATTTCATTTAAACAAGAGAAGTCAGTATTTAAAATCTCTCTGTGAAGCCATTTTAATTGAGAATAAGATGCAGGACTAGTTGGAAAGTTGAGTATTTGACATATTTATTAAGATTGCAGAAGTTAGAGCTTGATCAGTGATTTCAGCTCAGAATAATTTTGATTCTTGAGAACACTGTGCAACATTTGAAGACATTTTTGTATGTCACAACTGTAAGATGGGACCCCCACTAGCATCTGCTGCTCAATATGCTACAAAGAGTGCCAGGCCCTCCCAAAGAATTATGTGGACCAAAACGTCAATATTGCTGAAGTTGAGAAACTTAGATTAGGTAAATTATTTATTTCTAAGAACTAAAATGTTATCCATTTAGAGAACCACTGAAAGTAGATGCAGATGAGAGTCAACCAAATTGGGAGGGCATGTCAGATGACACCAGATTCAAAGATCTATGTATAAAGGTGGCTTGTGAGTGAATGGATGAGTTATTATTTGTAAACATCCATGGGGAACTGGATTTGCGGTTTCAATTTGAAAGTGATTCTTGGGGCAGCAGTATTATAAACAAATTTAAAGGGGGAATGAAATCAACACAATTTAAGAGAAAGCATTTTTTTAAAGTCATAGTTCAGATATCCTAAGTAAAAGACCTTTTAGTTCTTTGAGGAGTTGTCCTAGGATGAATATAGAAAAGGTTACACTGGGGCTGGGGATTTAGCTCAGCGGCATAAGCACCTGCCTTGCAAGCAGGCGGTCGTGAGTTCAATCCTCTATACCGACAAAAAAAAAAAAAAAAAAAAAAAAGAAAGAAAGAAAAGGTTACACTGATTTGGAAGGAGTCGATGCATTATACGGAGACATACAGAAAATCTTTGTTTTCTCCAGACCCACTGGTGTTCTTTTGCCTTCTCTCCCCACCTTTCTCCCTCTTTCTGTCTCTCCCTCTCTCTCTCCTTCCTTTCTCCCTTACCATTCTTTCTCTTTGGCTTTCTCAAAACACAATGTTCATTTCCTCTTTGTGGTCAGTCTCACAGAGCTGGCCAGTAGTTCTCTCCACAACACACTATGTGATAAGCCCTCTCTGCTTTGGTTTAATGAAGATAGAACTTCTAAACAATCATGGTATTCATTTTGCTTCCTTTGAAATTTGAATATTGAGTATTTTATTTAGGCAGTATATGCCTTTATAATACCTGCCTTTTAAAAGGCTTGAGGGAACTGGAATATATAAAAGGTTTTGAGACTTAACTCAAATTTTGTTTTGTTTAATTGAATGGTCAAATATTAATTTATATGGAGAGTAAAAATACACTGATGTAGCTACTTCTTCTCACATGACGAAACTGGCTAACTGTCAAATAGAGCCAATAAAGGCAATTCTAGCCAATAACATCAAGTCTTCTGACAGGTTCATTTATAATTTAGAAGAATTACAAAACATGTGCAGTATTTCATTGCCTAAAAAGAAGGATAAATTTGAATCATCTGAAGGAAAATGGATACAACTGGAGGCCATACTGTTAAGTAAAATAAATCAAAGGCATAAGCTCAAATATTTCATATTTTCTCTTATATGAGAAATCCAAAGTATAAATAAAACACAAAATAAAATAAAGGTAATAGAAAACAGGGAGACAAATCTCTTGCAAAAGAAAACAGGACCAAGAAGAGATGGATTGAGGTGACAAGAAGGGGACGGAAAGGGGATGTAGAAAAAATGAAATTGTGCTATGTATCTGTTCCAAGTCCACATAATGAATGTAATCATGTATTATTAAAAAATGTGCAGGAATATCCAGACCTTACACATCGCTATAGTCCTGTACTCAGAACCAACTTTGACATGGGAAAATTCCAACCAGATCACCATCAAAAAGAACCTCAGGACTCAATTGTTGATGAGCAAAAATAGGTTAATTTAATTTTTAACTCTGTATGTTTTCTAATATAGAACATGTACATAGGGAGACATACAGCCATTGAAAAATTTATGTGAAGGAAACGGCATTTAAGTAATTCACTGTCAATTTCAACCTTGACTCTCTGTGCTTTCCTAAAAGGATAATACATGGAGATTTTGGACATTTTTAAGGTTTTATAATATTTTATTCAATTAAAAATGGATTGTGGAGATGTAGCTCAGAGCAGAGCAATTGCCTGGAAAGCATGATGTTCTGCCCCCAAACTGAAAACAGAAAATTGCTTGTCTTTTATACAAAGATAACAATTTTAGTCTTTATCTCTTTGGTAAATGAATGGGTCAATTTCTATTTAATTATCTATTTCTTGTTGCAAATAATATGACATATCATTTAAAATAATATTTTTGCTAGTAAATAGAGAAAAACAAATACTAATTATTCTGTTTACATCAACAAACCTTGACTAATGATGATTTAGGAAGCATACCATCACATGTTGTATTTTATCACACTTCTTTTTAGTTGCTACTATAGGCAGTATTTACCACTGTCTCTTTTCCATAAATTATGCTGTGCTAAATCATTAGGCTTCTTTTAAACCCTGCCCTGTCCTTACCCTCTGTATTTCCTTTCATCTTTTTCTGCATGGCATCGTTTTTACCTACACATTACCTAACACTACCCTGCATTTCCACTGAAGCAAAGATGTTGGAATACTCTTTTTATTGTTGTTGTACTCTTGGTCTTTTTCATAGAGTCGATACTTGATACATGTTTACTGAATAGTCACGGTCCTTATAAATAATTAAGATACTTTTCTAATGGCATAATTAGGCAGGCATCAAGTATCTTCACTGACTTTTCAAAAAGTTTATAATTTTTAATTTCTTAAGATACTGCCTTAAAAAACACTTTAGTAAGAGAGTGCTATAAAACTCCATTTAAGCAGACTTAACTCTTGTTCTATTCCAAATCTCTTTGCTCACGCAGCTACTGTTTGCGTCTGATCTTTTAAGAGTCTATACAGCATTTGAACATTTTTGAACCCACAAGCTTTTCTAGGTAATTCGGAAAATGATTCAATTCTCTGGTGAACACACTAAAGAAACTGATATACTGAGTTTTAAAAAAGGAAGGAAGCAGTGTTACCTTTGTTATTTTCATGAGTGTTTATCTGCAAAACTTTTTTCCACAACATTAAATTTGCAGCTGTGGCCAAAGTTTTTTGTTTCTCAGAATCTCCTGTTACTCACTTGGGCTGTAGTGGAAGTGACTTTTTTATTTTAAAAGAAAGTCAGTTGTATATTGTAAAGGATACACATCATTAGCATAATTTCAGTTTTTAGGCTAATAAATACCATTATGTGAAAATATGAAAAATCCTCAAATAATTTCCTTTGGTGTTTAGAATTCATTACATGTTTTTAAATATAGTTCTTTCTTTTGTATTATGTATTATTTGAGTTAATAGTAGAATTATTTGGGGGGTAGGTTACTTGCTGGATAATTTTTTACTACAAAGACTATCTTACTAGTTTTGAAGTAATCAAAGAATTTAGCCCCTGCCTGGCATACAATCAGTTCTAAACAAACAAACAAACAAACCTCTGAACATATATGAAAAAAGCTACAGAGACTGAAGATAAGCCCAACAAATTAAAAATAGGACATCACTAATGCATCATCATTTAACATTGATATAAATGACTCAGAAATCATCCAATTCCTCAATTTATCCTCTTGAATGAATCCTTTTAATCAACACTGGAATTATAATTTCTACGTTAATATTTACATTATTATAATATCCTATACAATAATGCATAGGCTTACTTTTCCAGTTTTATAAATATAAACAGTTTAGAAAGTATCATCAAAATCCTCTTCATTTAAATAAATGATCATTTTCTGGGGGTCACATTTTAAGACTATTTCTTTGTACTTAGGAAAAGCAGAGAATGAGAGTCAAGGAATTTCATGATTACTCATCAGCTGTCCTGTTACCTTTATGTGTATAAGTGTATAGATTGTGGCCAAATTTGCAAAAAAAAAAATAAAACTTTCACTAAGTAGGTTTATATACTTTGACAAATGAGAGACATGCTTAGTATTTATTTTTATGTTAATAGGACTACCATTAAAAAAGAACATTGTAAAAACCATGGTTTCTATTAAAACAATGTTTTCTTTTAACTACACCTAGTGGAAATAGTACAGCTCTTATCTGAATCAATTTTTAAAGATTGATTAGTTAAAAGAATGTATTTTAAGTGAGAATATTATATCTTGTTTTCCAATTTTGCATTAGCAATAATGACTTGGAACATTTATAACTTACATTTGTACAAAGCATGAAAATAATAATGTATGAACTGCTAACCTTGAGATCTCATGAAGTCCAGTATTTTCCTGAAGACTCTACACTTCTGAAAACATTTATTCAGTTTGCTGATGTCGCATTTTTCTCCTAGAAAAGAGATACTTCAGTGTTACAAAGGTTATATTTTCAAAGAATAAAGATACAAACATAAATATTATATGAGAAAAGAAGCCAATAAAAACCTTGGAATGTAAGCAAAGCACTGAGCATAAAAATAATTACCAACATCATACATGTTTTAATAAAGAAAAACTACTAAAGAATGTAGGGAATTTTGAATGATTTACATACTTATATTATCTATTTTTCTGTTTCTCAATCTACAAATATTATTATGGAGACATTAAAGATACAGCCATTTAATAAATTCATACCAAAAGTTTTAAGCAAATTCTAGTCCTCAGAAGATTCATATATTCATAAAAATCAATATAGAATACATTCACTCATATCATAAATATCCAATAAAAATCAACCAAAATTTTATAGGTTTTCATAGTTAAAAAATAACTGATTATTTTGATTTGCTTAATAAAAATTAATTCTAAAATCAGAAGTTTACATGTTTAGATTTTAAGATAACTTTGGCTTTTAGAAAAATGAAAAATTCTTTAAAACAGGTATGCACTGAAAAATCTTGTTTATTAAAATGACAGTACCATAATTTAAAAGATTAATATAACAACTTAAAGAGACTATAACATGTTAACAGTGATGACATGCTGTCTGCTTACCCAAACGAAAATCATTTTTCCTATTTTATGTTCATACAAAAATATAAAACTTCTCCTAAAAATGAACTAGAGAATTTTTGAATTACAACTTGTAACTGTGTCTGAATAGTGGGTAGAATCGAATAATCACTGATCATAGCCAATGGCAAGAACTAGTGTAGAAATGGTACAAATGTGTTACTTGGATATAGAAATACCCTGGGAAGGCAAGTTACATTACTCAACTGAACATAAATAAAACGTCCAAACCATTCAAGGAAAAAACTGCCCTAAGGAGCTTTTTCTTCCTTTAAATTTTTAGTGTCTACCCAGATTTAGTAGAATAAAGATTTAACACAAACTAGAATATTTACAATATTATAGCACAAAACTATCAAGTTCTAGCTACAATTACATAGAAACTGTTGAGTCCAATTTGGTTCTGAGGAGTGCCAGATTCACCAAAACTTAAGTCCTGTCAGAGAGATTAATTCAAAATTGAATTTTAAGTAATCTTAATATTTTAAAATTTCATAAAGAATATTTCATACTTAAATGATGGCACATTGAAGACTACTAGAGAAATAACGTGAACTATATTTGCCTTCATTTTTTTTTTTTTTTATTTTGAAGGTAGTAAAATACAACAGAACAAGACAGAACACAGCCAATCGAGACAATGCAGTGAAATTGGTATAGAACTTTACAGCGGGACACTGGCATAACAGTAATAGGTACCATAGTATATCTCATTATCTTCACATTAGTGGCCCTTTCAATCAGGTATCGCAAAATCAAACCCAATACAGAACATCAAAACAGAATATTGAATAGAGCAATATAATTAATCAGAACTAAGCAAAACAGTGATAACAATATTTGCCTTCAATGAGATGACAGAAGGAAATCTCTTACATTTGCTATATTGTATATGGTCATCCTCCCAACAGATGTTCAGACCTCTGGCTGCCATTTGCTAACAGGAGTGTGTGTGGGGGGGGATGATTTTTGATTCTCAGCCTGCGCACTGGTAGGCTCAAGGCTGCTTACCAGCGAGGCGAGTGGGTTTCTTTGTTGCCCAGCACCCTCAGTTCCAACATGGTGCAGATCTCGGGAGACATTGGCTGGCTGGTTCTCTCCCTAGGTCACTGGCTGCCCACTGGAGCAGCAGCTGCTTACCAAGCAGGCAAGCAGGTTGCTGTCTTGCCCAACACTCTAACTTCCAACATGACAGGATCTCGGAGACGATGGCTGGTTCTCTCCCTGGGGCTGCCAACACTTGCCTGAGCCATGGCTCAATTTGCCTTCATTTTGAGGAACAGTTAAGAAGGTAACTTTTTGTGTTTTCCTTACTAAAAATCAGTATCCTAAGATTGCAATCCAAAGAATCAAAACTTACAGGCAAATAAGCACACTAACAGATTTCTGTTGAATGTCAACATAAAATAGACTTTCAAAAATCATTGGCAACCAAAATAAACTAATGAAAAATATTGGATACTGAATTTAATGTCTATAAATGTCATTTACAATTTCACATGAGATTTACTTTTTAAAGAAAATGAATTCTATATTATCTAGATCATTTTAACTTACTGAAGTATCATTTAAAATTTTGTCCTAAAAACAAAATACTGTAGCTATAGTTGTAGCTGTAGTTAGTAAGTGAGAAAACTGATATATAGCTCAAGATTTCTGTTTTACAAATAGAAAATCTGTCTGTTTTGTAGTTGTGACATGTAGCTACATATAAATGGAGAAATTAAGCAGTTTTAGCTAGAAATTACTGTTATAAGTAAAAACATAATTATATTTTAGAACCAAATACATAGAAGACAATTTTACCACGTAAGGTATTGCTTTGAGAAGAACAAATATTGTGATTTTCATCAACCATCAAAACCAACATTTTGGTTGATATTATTGGTTTTTGTGTGTGTTGAACATAGGAATATTTTGGAGACTAGAAATTATTTAAAGTTATTGTGATATGGATTAATGAAATGGGTATAGCCTTAACTTGTCCAATAAAATACTGAGAAATCTATTGATCTAAATGTATATGTCATAATATGTAAATGTCAATGTCAATAATATGGAATTTCAACAGAGGAAAAGATATTGTTAGATGTGCAGAAAGAAGACTCAAATTCTCATTTGTTTGGAAATCAAGAGCTATATGAAAATAAATTCCATGGATAGGTCTGGCCCAGAGACCAGTGAAACCCCAAAAGGGAATGTACCACAAAAGGAGTCTAAAAGGGGCTGGGGATTTAGCTCAGCGGCATAAGCACCTGCCTTGTAAGCAGGTGGTCATGAGTTCGATCTCGAGTACCGATTAAAAAAAAAAAAAGGAGTCTAAAAGAGCAAGCATATTCAGTGTAGAGGTCTCAGTGCTGAAGATCTGGGAACAGTGTTAGTGTCATGCACAATGCACAGTAGATGATGCAGAAATCATTCCAGCTCAGTACTTTGTCCAGGTAGATGCGACCTGGGACACTGGCTGGGTGAGACCTTGTAAGGTCACGCATGTGCACACTTGAGCATGTGCACACTTGAGCAGGAAACAGCATTTAAAGTTGTGCTGTTAAAATTGACATCTACTATCAGATTTTGTAACAGGATCATGCCTAAACACATACATCAATAGATTAGAAGTGTTGCCTTTCCTCTTAAAGCCTTCTGGTGGTCTGAACAAGATGATTTGGAATGCCATTTTACTCCAATCCTATCATTTTGAGGTAATGAAGATTGACCTGCATAGCCTTGCAAAGACTGTTAAGCTACCTCACAGTTGAGAGCTCATTCCTGTGGATGGGTGTGGCAAGTGCAAATGACATCTGAGACTGATGTGAGGATGAATAAAAGCATCCCAAGTATTATGAAAAGTGCATGAGATGGATGAAACTTGTACAATTATATAAATGGGAACATATTTAATGATGTAAATGTGACATCATTTGTCTTTAGAAGGCTTTGTTAGCCTCATCAAAAGAATCAGTGTAATATTTCTGATTATGTCAGACCTTCCAAATTTAAAGACTCAGTTCAAAAATCGGCATCTGAAATGAATAGGCACTTCTTAGATGAAGAAATAGAAATAGGAAATAAAAATATAAAAAATTTCAGCATCGGATACAAAATCAATACTCAGAAATCAATAGCATTCCTATACACGAACAACAAAATTACAGAGAGGGAAATAAGAGAAACTGGACTATTCACATTAGCAAGCAAAAAAATGAAATATTTAGGAATTACTCTTACGAAAGAAGTGAAAGACTTATACAGTGAAAATTATAATACACTGAAAAAGGAAATTGAAGATGATCTCAGAAAATGGAAAGACATCCCTTGCTCATGGATAGGAAGAACAAACATTGTGAAAATGGCCATTCTCCCAAAACTGTTATACAGATTCAATGCAATCCCAATAGAAATACCATCAACATACCTTATAGATCTAGAGAAATCACTCCTAAATTTCATCTGGAACCAGAAGAGACCTAGAATCGCAAAGGCAATTCTAAGCAGCAAAGACAAAGCAGGAGGCATCACAATCCCTGACTTGAAGTTATACTACAAAGCAACAGTAGTAAAATCAACATGGTATTGGAATCAAAACAGAGCTGAAGATCAGTGGAATAGATTAGAAGATACAACCACAACTACGAACACACTCAACCACCTTATTTTTGATAAAGGAGCCAAGCAGGTTCACTGGAAGAACGACAGTCTCTTTAATAAATGGTGCTGGAAAAACTGGCTCTCCATTTGCCGAAAACTAAAGCTAGACCCATGTCTATCACCATGTACTAAATTAAAATCTAAATGGGTCAAAGATCTGAATATTAAAACAGAAACACTAAATCTATTGGAAGACAAAATAGGTAGAAACCTTGGAGACATAGGAGTAGGTAAAGAATTCATGAACAGGACTCAAACCGCACGGGAAATACTTCCCAGAATCAATAACTGGGACCACTTCTTATTAAAAAGTTTCTGCATGTCAAAAGAAATCTCCAGCATAGTGAAAAGAAAACCCACAAACTGGGAAAAGATTTTAATGAACTCTCTCTCAGACAAGGGCCTCTTGTCTAAAACATACAAAGAATTAAAGAAACTCAGACCTCCGAAATTCAAAGATCCAATCCAAAAATGGGCATCTGAGATGAATATGCAATTCTCAGATGAAGAAATGCAAATGGCAAATAAATACATGAAAAAATGCTCATCATCATTGGTCATTAGAGAAATGCAAATTAAAACCACACTGAGATACCATCTCACTCCTGAAAGAATGGCCAGGATCAAGAAAACCGACAACAAATGCTGGAGAGGCTGTGGGGAAAAAGGAACTCTCCTGCACTGCTG